TTCGTAGTTATTTTAAATTAAAAACACTTTATTAAGTCAATAAATGCATAAATTAGAATTTAATGTTAACGGTATCTTTCTAAATACATTCATCTACGCCATTACAACTTAAACTAAATAAATTTGTTAATTTTAAACAGCATGTTAGGAATTTTCAAAAAAAAATGCAAAATTAATCTTATATTTCAGAAACAACTGAAGCTATCTTCTCTAGAACATTCTCAATTTTGTGGCTTTAAACACAATATATAAATTATCTTATACCTTTTAAGAAATTTCTAAAAGAAGCAAATCGTTGCACTAACAAACGAAAAACCAGAACAGAAATCAAATCAAAGCACAGAAGATTTACAAGAAGTCTTTCTGGTAGACGTAGAATCGAAAATTAGAAAAATTAAATGCGGTAAAGCAGCCGAAATGGATTGGATAACAGTGTAACTGCTTAAATACATTGTCCAAAATCCTGAAAAAAATTAGCAGGCATATCTACTAACTGCCTTAAATTAAGATGCATACCAGACCACTGGAACACAATAAACGTAATTCTCATTAATAAGAAAGGTAGCAAAAGATAATATCAAAAACTATAGACCTATTATAAGTCTACTACCAATTATATTAAAGATATTCACAAAGATCGTCAACAACAGATTAATTAATGCGTTATATATGCTTCGAGAAATAATATGTAGAGCTAAAGGATACGAAATATCGCTAGCATTAACCTTTATAGATTTCGAAAATGCTTTTAATTCTGTATATCCCAAGGCAGTAATAAAAGCTTTGACCAACTAAGGCATTGACAAATCGTACATAGAGACTAAAGCAAATATATACAGATAAGCAAAAGCTAAGGTAATCATTTATGAAAACATTCCAGAATTTCCCACCAGCAATAACGTCCAACAAGAAAACGCAATATAACCAAAGCTCTTCGCTGTTACTCTAGAAAATATATACCGAAGAAGAATACCTCAACCATCTAGGATTTGCAGACGACATCGTTCTGATTGCTAATTATGCTGCAGAACTACAAGAACTTATAATCGACCTACATGTAGCTAGCCATGCACAACGAACTAGTGGATGTCCAAGGTATAATATTCAACCACACTGCTCCGGATTCCAGAAATTACCAGAAGAATGAACCTGGCTTGGGCATCTTTTGGTAGAAATGCAGTTATATCCAATTCGAAGATGCCACTTCACCTTAAGAAGAAAGCATTCGATCAATGTATACTACTAATCATAATATACAGCTGTGAAACTTGGACAATAAACACAAATATAATAGCGAAACTTAAAGTCACTTAAAGGTCAATGCAGTGAAGCATGATAAAGATAACACAATAGGAGATACGAGATACGGAGATATTTCGACACTCTTTCTATTTCTATTCCAGAGCGTAGAAATATTTTAACTAATTTTAAACTGTTTGTTCTTGTTTTAGTGTAGTGTCTGTACAATTTTTTGTTAACATTCATGTTCATCACATTCTACGCTTGCTGGATAGCCCATATTTGACGAAATGCCCCTGAAGATACTATATTGAGCGAAAGTACTTGGGCAAGTTTTGATTAAACTTGTGCTCGATATAATTGCCTTAATTTTCTAAGTTTAAAAAACTAAAAGATGCTGTCAAACAGGCAGCTAAAGTGAAATGGAAATGGGCAGGCATAACAAACGTCTTAAGGATGGCCGATGGTCAAAGAAATCGGGAATTGGCGGCCATATGAAGCCAAAAGAACACGAGGAAGATTACAAATGCGCTAGAGCGACGATATTAAAAGAACTGCAGGGCCAATGTGGAAACGTGTTACCAACAACAGAAATGAATGGCGAGAATTAGGAGAGGACTATATTCGGCAGTCCGAAAAGAGAGAAGGGCTTAAAAAAATTGTCATTGTCAGAAATATGTTTTGGATACAATATTAAGTATATTATTAAATCAATAAATATTGAATATTTTGTGTCTCTTTAAATTTAACAAGTTTATACTGTATTTCAGTAAAGCAATAGATTCCTGCCGTTCTAAGCATAATTTTAAAACCAAAATATCTAACTTTGCTTTAATAAAAATTATGTATTGCAAACATATAAATCATTTTAAATAATGTTTTGAAAACCCGAAGATGAATGTGTTTAATAGTTACGTTACTGTCGTATTTAAAAATATATACAAAATTTTATTTACAACTAACGAAAACATATTTAAAATGTAAGAATAACGTGACACTCATCTAAAAGCTCTAGCTTATTAGAAAAAGGGAGAAATAAAGTGGGCGCAAATCACACTTTTGCATCAAAATAAACTATTTCAAACAGTGTAAAAGTAGAAAATGTGTTTGTTGGGACATATATGTATATTGCCAACTTATGTATAGCGTAGTTTCATTCATAAACTTTTGTAAAATTAATATTGGCATCTTTTCTTTTCCTTTACACTTTTTCACATAATAAATTTGTATTTTGTTTTTGTTCTGAGGGAACAGTTTAGGTATGGTATATTTTAAGTTTTGATGAAATATTTTAAGATTTAGTTCTATGCAGAATTTAATGGTATAATTATTTGAACAAATTATATTTAAATAAGGGTCGTAAAAGCACGGAACAGTTTCCAATGATAGTACGTGTGTCTATACATACCATACCTACATGACACATATTTCTATGACTTGTTATTAAAGCTTATAGCTTAAATAATTCCACCACTAACTTAATTAATATAGAACCACATATTATGAAAATATTCTAACAAAAAATAATTAATACATAAAATTAATCCAACGACAAATATGCTACGTTATTATCAGTGCCTACCTATTGGAGAAACTATTAAAAGAAAACACACGATGATTTCTTTAAATATGTAAAATAAAACAATTAATCAACGTTTCCATAAATTACCTAAGTGTACAAAAAATAAAAGCAAATCAACCATTTTAAAATTATTCAAAATGGTTTATTTGCCACCAATTAGAAGTAGGGGAAAGGGGGGGAATAGTGGCCGCCTAAGCATTTTGGTTTATTTATACTGCTACATAGCTTTAAAAATTACAGTGTTAACGTAAATAAAACTTCAAACCTTAGTACTTCAAACTATCTTTACGAAAAATTTTTAAACAGAACAAAAAAAAATTAAAACGGTTTTTCAGACTTCTGCTGGTGGCCATATTTACCCGCTGCCGAGGGGTAAAAGTGCCACTGCTACTAATTAAAAGATAATAAAGATGCAGAAATGGCAAATTTAAATTTTGCCTTCGAAACTGGTACAATAGTTTTGTGCCCAATTTCCGCAAATGCTGCATTGGATCCAGAGTTCTCTGTTTTTACCGAATTCGCCAAGAATTGTGCAAACATCTTCGTTAACGTCCCTATCACGGTCATCGTCATCATACTCATCTTCAGATGATATATCTTCTGTGATCTTATACAATTTCTTTTTGAACTATTCGCGGAGGACTGGACTCTTTGATGCCTATTTTTTGTTTGGTTCCTTTGCAGGCTTTACTTCTCATTTGCTCTTCCTTCTTAAGCTGTTTTTCTTCTAGAAGTAACTTCATTGGTGTTGATGTTATTATTTTGGAATGTTGCTTTTGTGATTTGATCTTTTATTCTCAACTGAGTCATCTTTTTAGCATCCTGGTAGGAAATATTGTCAACAAAAGATACTTGAAACTTTGTGTCATGTGTCGAACTTTCTTTATTTCCCTTAACTTCCTTATTATTCTTCACCTTATCATATCCACTATTTTTCTCTTGAACTAGTGTCTTCTTATCTTTTTCTTGTATGAATGATTCATCTGGAGCAAAGTCTTCATCGATAAAATTTTCAGGATTAAGTGGTTCTAGTAAGAATATTAATTATTTAAAAAAAGACAGAATTACCTTAGGTATGTTTTTTAGTTTTCTGAGAAGTAAAGAAGTACAGTATTCTTATTTTACAATTTTCTTCTATTCAAATTTTAATGCCATCAGTTTTTCTATATCTCTTGCAGTTTTGGTTGTCACAATGCGTGGACGAAAAGGCAAACTTTGTTTTTATTTCGATCCAATTAAATAAAAATCAACAGTTTGTTGGAATGTTAAATATTTTAAATATAGTAATCATTCTGTTTACTATACTATTAGACTATTCTAATGGTCCATTAAAAAGTTACATTTTTGAAACGACGCAATTATATTTTTTGGTCTGTGTGGGTGGCTATTATAAGCTTAAGTCCAAGTTTGTGGGATTGTCACATTTTTCTTTCGCTGTCATTTTGGAAAAGGGGGCCAAAGGGTTTTTGCACTGTATCTCGTAAATAAGCAACCTTATAGAACATTTTATAAAACATAATTTGTAGGAAATTAAATTTTTTACAACTTTGTATTATGTATTATTTTTATCGTAAAATTTATAATAAAAAAAAAACACAAAAATAAGTCAAAATTTTGGAACAAATTTTCTTTTATGCCTTATAAACTTTTTGTTCTAATCATTTTACAATAAAATGGCATCAGAGCAATATTATAGAGGGCTATAATATTTGCTAGTAATACGATTTTCACCGATATCGCTGACGAATATATCGAAGAAGCGGAGTGGAACGTAAAGGGCCAAAAATATGACTTCTTAAATAATAAATAAAGAGTACCTATAATAGTTATAGGTTATAGTTATAGTAATAGTTATTTTAATTATCCTGCACTATAATTATTCAATGAAGGAATAATATTTCTTTGAACTATATTTGGCTTTTTTATTTTATTGTATTTCTTCATTCTTTAGTTCAATTTACCCTGAGAGAACCGTGACCGAGAAATCTAAAAGAATGATCAATTATTCATAAATCTCGTTTAAGCAAGATTTTCTAAACAAATGACAATTTACGTTAAATGTAAATAAAATATACTTGTTTAAAACTTTGGGTTGGTCTTATCAAAAAATATGTCATGTCCGCTTTACAAATCATTACTACAAAGTAAATATGGCTAACAACATACTACGTTTAATACATTATTTCAGATTTCTCGCTAAAACTAACTTATTAATATCGTTATAAGTAGTGAGCATTGCTGGACTAGCTTTGTGGGCAGTTAAAGATGGGCATCCGCCGTGGGCATGACACTCTTCGCCATCTTGTCCATCTTTGGCAGCTTTCATGTAACGGAAAAACCGAAGGATATCTGGATTGTCGCTAGATGGTTTGCGAAGTTCGTTTAGCTCCCTGTAATTATAAAAGTTGATTAAATATAAATATATAAATATTTTTTCTTATATTTATAATTAAATATAACAAACGAGTCTGTGACGTCCGACTGATTGCCGGTATAAGCATTCGCTTACGTACATTATACTAGTATAAAACCGATGGACGGATAAAGAGACAGAGCTTTACAGATATACTCAAACTACAAATGCTCAGTGACATCGTAAAAGCGTCAGAATTCTATTAAATAACTATATCACCACTAAGTTTATCTCCATGAGGGCTGAAAAGCGAAAGAATATTATTACAGAGAACAAGTCGAAAGTGTCAAAAAACACTCCAGCTTTTGTAAAAATGATCAAAGAATGATAAAAGAGCTCAAAAATACCGTTTGACCCAAACAGGATATGATACTGATAGATAAGCTCTAGCTCGTGTGATTATAGTTGACAAGCCTTTCTGGAGTAGCAATTTGCAACCCGATATCAAAACGGTGAAAAGGGAATATCGAGCGAACAGAGTAACGATTTCTTATCAGAAAAAAACCGCTACTGATCAGCCATGCTGCAACAGAAGCGAAAATCCTCGAGGCCTTACAAACTATGAAATCTCAAGCAGCCAGTCCTGACTTTATTATTATCAAGGTTTTCTTTCAAAAATTAGTCCTCGTCTATAATGCTATGCTCCAGTTTGGAGTCACTCGGGAGATATTAACTGATTGCAGGACCACCTTGATACTAAAGGGTGGCGGTGCGCTTAAGGTAGGTAATTTTCGCACGTTTACCATTTTTTCTGTAATGATAAGGGTGCTCCATAGTAATACATTGGAAGAGGCTTGCAAAGCTAGATTATCACGATAACCAGCGAGGATTTAGGCAGGCAAGTAGCGTTCTGTTAAAAAATATGACGCTTCAAACGGTGTTCATATCGATAAATCTTCGAAAAGCTTTTGACAGAGTCAATCATCTATCAATTGAATTGCATAGAGACGTTAAACAGGAAGATCCTTTAACGGCCGTCCTTTTCAATATAGTGGTCGATAAGCTGATATGCAAGCTCGAGAAAGCTAGGCTTGGCCTTACGATTGCAGATGACAGGAAGATATCAGTGTTGGATTAGGCTGACAATAAAATCCTGCTATCTGAATCGCCAAATCGTGGTACCAGACAGCTTACGATAGCCGTTAAATTCTTCAAAAAGATGGGAATGTTGTTAAACGCTGGTACAAGTCTAGCTATTAGGGTTAATATTAACCGTGTTAATAAGTACTCTTAATGCGTAATGATTCTTTTTTTCGGCAGCTGCAACTGAGTGTTAAATACCTAGTTTAACGGTACAATACACTCGGATAGGTCAAAGTAGCCTTAAACGAGCTGCAGACTCAGATTGATCGTGTTCAACGAGCAGGGGCTAAAGTCAGCACAAAAGTTACTTGTCCTGAAGTTTACCTACTACCGAGATGCGCTGACAAGCTACAGAGTCCAACGATCACGATGACATGGCCGTCCTTATAGCCGTATGGAAGCATCTGCACTTTAATCGAACGTCTGCCGATGCCTCATACTGCTCCCACAAAAGAGGGTGGTCTGGGCGTCATGGCTACGCCCATGCATGTTCCGGCTGTCATGAGGAGAAGAGTAACAAAATTAATTAGCCCAGCAACTAAAGCTACCACAATTACTCTAGCTCTACCATACGTGTCACGTCTCTGGGAGAAACTCTTGAAATGCACCGAAGCAGCAGCAAGCAGTTCAACGTAAATCGCATGTAAACTGAGCTAGAAGAATTTTTACGTCGAATGCAAGCACCGGCCTCTTTCCTATCACGGGATCTAGGTTTGTTTCGTTAGGGTTTTATTTTATGACCTAATTTTACATGTTCTGTGAATGTAGATTTTACGTTTTTAAATCCCTTTTTTTACTTATACTTCTTTTTATTCATATATATTTCTAAGCTGGAACATTTGGCATGTGGCAACGTTAGTAACTGCAAGGAGCAACAGACCAGCAGGATTAGGACTGTTCGAATGACAAGGGTTTGGTTACGTGATAAACGAAGCCACATAACTGTCATTGTCGGATCTACAAAATAAAAGAGGATATGGCTCCACTCTGATGAAAAACAACTTTGGGCAAATGAGTCGGTAAGTTAAATGGCACTTTCTTGTCCTAGAAGTGGAAAACAAGGCGGATGAACTAGAAATGATTACCAGCAAGGAGATGCATAAGGCAATGGAAATCCAATGCAATCAAGGCCCAATGAGTATCCCTAGTTAATCATTATTACTAGAGTCCGGATTTAGAAGTATAAATATTATCGTGAATAACAGAAGCAAGAATATTTTCATTTTAAATATGGACGAAATATGCAAAAATAAGTCATTTAATAACACTTTTTTATGCTTTATTTGCTTTTTTTGAAATTGGTTTAATTTATTACTATTTATTATTACCATTTTTGAATTTTACATAATTTTTTTGGTATAAAAATCTGTTATTATACGACAAAGTAAACTTCAGTCAAAATCGTCCAAAATGGATTTTGGGGCAGATTTCATTCTTTTGTTGATGGGCATCTAAATGATGTAAAAGCACCTACTTCTATATTTTTAATTTAAATTGAGATCAGTTTTATAATTTCTCTCTTCAATCCTGACCCCCCAGGGGGAGTGTAGTGGTCGACGTGATGTCGTGTATTGTCCGTCTCCAGAGATCTCTGTCTCTGGTCATTTCTTTTAATTCATGCATAAGTCTTTGGCATATTCCTGTAATTTGATCTATCCATCTTGTTGAGGATCTTCCTCGTGATCTTCGGCCTTCTACCTTTCCCTGTATTATGAGTCTTCCTTTTTTTGTGTGTTTGCTCTCATAACATGCCCAAAATATTTTAATTGTTGGAGATGGACTTTACTAGAGAGTCGTTGGCTAACTTTTAGCTCTCTTAAAATTGAGTTATTTGATCTACGGTCGGTCCAAGGAATTCGTAACATTCGTCTCCAACAGAACATTTCAGTGGCGTCTATCTTTCTTCTCTCCGATTGTCTCAGAGTCCAAGATTCACATCCGTAGGTTAGTATTGGGAATATTAAGCAGTTGATCAACCTCATCTTTATCGCTCTTGAAATTTGACATTCCTTCCATATTTTGGTCATTTTTGCTGTGGCAACTTTCGCTAGATCACATGTACGTTTAATCTCTTCTTGTAATGCCCTGTGTTTGTGATTAATGATCCCAGATATAAGTATGAGCTCACAACCTCGAACCGGTCAATTGTGGTTATGTGTGGATGATTGTTGTGTAGTCTATCCACTATCATGATCTTTGTCTTTGATATGTTTAATTGCAGACCAAATATTTGACTTTCGTTTTCGATCAGTCGTGTAAGTTCCATCAGCTCTGCTTGACTATTTGCAAGAAGGGCTGTGTCATCTGCAAAACGTAGGTTGTTTAGTTTATGACCATTTATTGAGATGCCCTTTTCCCATCCTTCAAGTGCTCTTCGCATAATAAGTATATTATGCGAAGAGCAGTTTTATAAAAGGTACTTAGAATTACTCCTGTAGCTAAAGCGTTTCTGTAAGAGGACGTTATTTATGCCATAAAACACACAAAAGGTAGAAAAGCTCCAGGACCCTATAAAATACCAATTGAACTATTGAAGATAATTGTTGAAGATAATATTAATATCTTGGTAGACCTTTTTAACTCCATATACAAGATGGGACACATACCCAAATAATGGCTCTCTAAACTTTTGTAACGATTCCAAAAATCACAAATGCTAAAGATTGCAATGACTATCGGACAATTGCATTAATGAGCCACATATTGAAAACCTTCCTTAAAGTCATACATAACAGAATCCATATGAAATTAGAATAAGAAATCAGTGATTTACAGATGGGTTTTAGAAAGGATCTAGGAACTAGAGAAGCAATATTGGGAGTCAATGTTCTGACACAATGATGTCTGGATATAAATCAAGACATGTATGCTTGCTTCTAGGAATAAGCGATGTACAATGGCCAGGGTCTGGAAAACAACGGACTAGAAACGGAGCTATATATTATAGTGGATATTCTGATAGAACAAACCGATATGGTGTGGCCATAATGGTAAGCAAGGAAATAGATAAATCCGTACTTGGTTTCACCCCGCTTTCGAATCGCATTATAATGCTACAAATTAACACCAATATAGGGAAAATGAATGTTATTCAAGTATATGCACCAACAGCTGACAAGGAGGAACAAGAAATAGAAGACTTCTACGAGCAATTAGAAACAATAATGAAAACAACAAAAAAACGTGAAGTTCTGATACTAATGGGTGACTTTAATGCCAAAGTGGACAGAGGAAGTGTGGATAGTTGTGTTGGAATGTATGGATTGGGAGAGCGAAATGAGCGTGGTGAAAGACTAATTCAGATGTGCCAAATAGAAGAACTAGTAGTTATGAATACAATGTTTAAATTACCAAATCGCCGGCTCTACTCGTGGAAAGCTCCTGGAGACAGCAAATATAGAATCATAAGAAATCAGATAGATTACATCTTGATAAGGAACAGGTACAAGAACTCTATTACAGTAGTGAAGACTTACCCTGGAGCAGATGTAAACTCGGACCACAACCCAGTAGTAGCCAATATGAATGTAAGATTGAGAAAACCATTAATGAAAAGATCTAGACCACAAATATGCATTGATAAGTTAAGAGAACCAAATACATACCAAGAAACTCAAAACAAAATAAATCAGAGTATCCAAGAAATAAAACAACAAAATAAGAACACTACAGATATTGACACAAAGTGGAAGAATATAAAGAACGCAATCGAGACTGTGGGACGGAAAACTTTAACATTTACAAAAGCTGCCAAACAAGAATGGATGACACAAGAAATTCTCGAAAAGATGGACGAACGAAGAACACATAAAAACAAAGATAAAATTAAATATCAAGAAATTAATAAACAAATAAAACAGAAAATAATACAAGCTAAGGAAACATGGATGTCCA